TTTAATGATAATTTCAAACAGAAGCCCGTAATACGTAAACAAATAGTTATTATCTTTCTAATAACATGATATAAGACCTTAGACACTTTCCCAAGCATGGGAATTAACCACTTTATAAAATCCCACAAAATAGTGAACACTTTTTTAAGCGTAGGACCGATCCCCTTAAAGCTTCTTTTAGACCATCTGATTATAGATTGGGATATTCTTAAAAACAAATAAACAAATAATGCGCAGCAAATAAAAAATAGAAGTTCAATAGAATTTACTCTAAGCCACCGTATAATAAATTGTAAATTTCTCTTGAAAAAATCCATTAAAAATTGTAGCATTCTAATAATTTTTTGTGAGATTCTTTCATCGATAATTTGAAATACTTCATATTCTTCCACTTTAAAAGTTCTATTGTCGATAATTTTCTTCTCGTAGGAGTGTCTTCTGCTCTTGCAAATAATATCGGTTCCAGTTGAAATAATGCGCAAATCACGTAAACCAAAGCATGGTCCTTTCTCTTTATACCAAAATATCGCTTCTTTTTTAGTAGATATTCGACTTAACTGGTCTCGATCTTTTAGAGAAAATAGAAAAGTTCTTGATCGAAGTATATATCCCTCTTTTTCTACTCCTGCACCCCATTTAAAGGGATTGTATCCACCAATTATTTTCTCTGAATTGTGAGCTTTAATAACTACAACTGTTGGTCCCTTTTCATCACATTTTTTATGGAAATTTTCAATTCCAAAACCATCACGACTTGCACGATAAATAAGCTTGAATTTAAAAGGTAAATTTGTAAAACGGTACAATGTTTCTCGCTTATCGATCCAACTAGCTATGTATCCTGTATCTTTGGCATGAATAATATTCGATTCAAATGGATATTTTCTTAACGGCAAGATATTGATTGAGGGTTCAAAATTAGGATTTGAAAAATATTCTGTGATTTCATTATCAAGGCCATCCGGTAGAATATCCTTAAAACGATCTTTAACTTTTGAATAATCACCAGGTAACATTTGAAAAAATCGAATATGAGGAATACAATTCTGCAGAGTATTTTTTAAGTCATCAAAATTCCTAGGTGTCCATTTTGTAAAATCCTTGTCGAAATTAGAAG